AGTTGGGGGACTTCCTGGAAAATTTTATCATATACTCAGGATGTATAAGAGAGCTATGTAATTCTTTTATAGTAGTATATCAGGGAGTCAGAGGGGGGTCGCTTCCCAGCAAGGCTACCAGTTTTCGGGAGCAAATAGCAAGCAGCCTTGCTGACATGCTAATTCTACCTAAGTCTTATTCCTAGGTCGGGGGGTGGGGGGATACACAGCAGCGGCCTTGCCAACGTGCTGCCCGACCTAAGAGGTATATGTCAAAAGGCTCAAGACAGATCCTGGGCCTTAGCAGGTCGGACTCCTCCAGGTGAGCACATGTGCCCTATAGCAAATTTAAAAATAATAATAATAAATAAAATTAAATAATTCTTTTAAAAAAAAATAAAATTCTAATCCTGAATCTGTTTTCTATTAGTTGTGTGGCATTGCTAAACAATTGTATTCTCTGAATCTCATATATAAAATGAACATATTTCTATTAACCTCATAAGAAAAAACACATGAAAGTATCAGTCCATGACATCTAATGGATGACTGGGCATATATCCATATAGCTCTGTTATGGAACTGGACCCAGATTAGAAATTTAGTCAGTACTGGGGCTGGCAGGTGGCATGGTGGTTAAGGGCACTGGACTCCCACGTGGCTGACCATGGTTCGAGTCCTAGACCTATTGGCTTGCTTTCTCACTTTCTCTCTCTCTCTCTGTCCCTCTCTGGTCAAATTAAAACAAATAAATAAATAAAGCTAAATAAAATAATTTTTAAAAATTCAGTCAGTACTTGTTGACCATCAAGCCCTAGCAAAACCACATTCCCTAAGCCTAATTCAGCTCTTTACTTTCTTTCTCTGAAAATGTCTTCTTGGGACCAGTAGTTAGCATAATGGCTATGTCGCTGGACTGCCACGTAGTCGACCGTGGTTCACGTCCAGGATCTGGTGGCTTAAAACTCACGCCGGGCATGTGTGTGTACATGCCCAAAATCCTGAGAAGAGAATGGAGGAGAAGGGATTGCGGGGTGGCCATCCCCCCTGGGGGGTGATTTCTCACTTTCTATCTCTCTGTCTCTGTCTGTCTGGTGAGCGCACGCGCCCTATAGCAAAAACCTCTCAAAAAAAAAAAGGTCTTCTTCTGCCCATTCTGCCAGTTCCTTCTTGCATAATTTTCTGACAAGTTTTTTTCTTTCATGTAATATTCACCTATTTATATATATTTTTTAAAATTTAAATTTATTTATTTACATTCATTCACTATACATCATTACAGCATACAAAATGAGATTTCCCATCCAGAATACACTGTATATTGGCTCAATCAAGCACATCAACATATGTGTTTCCATTTATTTCCTGTATATTTTGCTTATTTTTGCCATCCTTGATTCCCTATCCCTCACCCTCTGCTGTGTCCCACCCTCCTCCCACATTGTCTCTGGTATCCATAGTTGCTTTCTATGCCTGTTTCCCCCCATTGAATTGATTCTCTAATGAACCTAATTAGTCTAAATATTTCCAATAACAAGTACAGCTGATATATACATATCCATGAACACAAATCTGACTTTAGGCATAAACCTCAGAGAGTAGAATGAACATACTATAAAGTAGCACCTCACTGGGACTATATAGCTTACTGCAGTCATCAAATGCGCATTTTTTTAAAATTGCAATAAAAACAGTTTTCGTGGTTTTTTTCCTCCTGAAACTTTCTTTTTTAATTAATTAATTTACATTCATCCCCTAAGCATCGTCACATCATACCAAATGTGGTTTCCCATCTAGAATAAACTGCATAGTGGTTTAATCATGCATGTTATCATCAATAATTTTCCATTTCTAGTTTCAT